CCAGCCTTCCGCTCGAGTACCGCTCCGAGCTATGGCGGTACGAGTTCACATCGGCCCCACAGGCTTACGAGGCCGCCAGGGACCACCAGCGGATGCGAGCCCGTCTTCACCCCGCCTCCTCCTCCTCTCATGGCACTTCCCAGCGTCGTTCCTCTTTCCGCGGTCGCCCCCGCCGTTCCACGCAGCAGGGCCGCCACTTCTCGCGCTGCTTCAGCGCGCTGGAGTATGGTGAGCAGGACGATGTTGCCCCACTGTCATCTGAGGGCGACCACAGCGACGACCTCGATCTCTGCGAGGTCGTCCACTATCACTTGGAGGACTCTACCCTCCCTGCAGTTGATCGCCTTCAGCTCGCGCTCTCTGCCCTCTCTCGGGCACGCAGCCACCCCAGTTACGATGACGCATCGCCCCCCGAGCTCCCTCAGGAGGACCTCCCTCAGGGCTTCGTCCCTCCTCGTGGTGTCCTTTCCCCTGAGGAGCGCGCGGCTATTCTGGGCCGGCGTGGGTGTTTGCGCTGCCGCTTGGGCGGTTATACCTCCTCGCGGTGCCCTTACACTACCGCCCTCGACCGCCACTACGCTGACCTTTCTCGTCAGCGTCGTGCTCAGTCCCCCCCCGGCGCCTCACGTCCCCGCTGCGCCTCCTAGCCACGGTGCAGTGTACACCTGCGCCCTCCTCAGTAGTGGGCTTCCCGACATCTCCGTTGCGGTTCGCCCCTCTCGCTACTAGAGTTTAGGTATCGCAGGACTCGACAGAGTGTACTCATCCCTCTGTCGCAGTACCGTCTGCGCCTCCGCAGACCACCGTCTCCCCTCCTTCCCCACCGCGACTACCGACGCGTCGAGCCATTCGCTCAGCCCGTTGCAGCGAGCAGCTTGCTACTCGCGAAGCGTTGTGTCCTCTCTTCTAGACTTGAGCATGCTCCAGGCTCGTCAGGAGCGACTCACCCTCCATGTCGCTGCGCTGCGTCGCCTTTTCGCTATCCTCTCTGACCCTGATCGCACCCTCCCGATCATCCCCGTACGACTCGGGACCTCCACGAGGGTGTACTCAGCGCTGTGGGATTCCGGTTCTCAAGGCGATTTCATTCGCCCACGCGTGGTGAAGGAAGCCCGCTTACCCACGACAGGGTCTCCGACTCCCATCTCCGTTACCCTAGGGGATGACAAGACCCAGCGCTTCTTCGATCAGACGGTCACCGACCTCCCCTTCTTCCTCACTCTCGAGCCGACTGAGCATTCCCCGACGTCTCGTCACCACCGCTCCTCTGCACATTTCGATGTGATGGAGACGGGGTATGACTTCATTCTCAGCACTCCGTGGTCTCGTCGGTTCCGCAGCACCGAGGCCGATTGGGCGACCAACACTTTCGTTTTCAAAACGAAGTGTGGATAGACGTATCGCGTACCTTTCATAGGTACCATGGCGACACCACGCCCTGATCCTCCTCCCCCGGAGCCTTCAGTGCCCACACCATCTCCCTCTATCACTGTCACCTCGCCTCGGCAGTTCGCTCACTTCATTCGACAGGACGACGTCACCTTTTTAATGGTGGACGTGACGGATCTCTTACACTATGATCCACCCTGTCCCGACGCCGAGCTCATCCCTCTGGAGCCAGATCCTCCCTCTATCTCCATGGCTCC